TAATTGTGCAAAGTTTTATTTAAATATTTTAGCATTTTAAAAAAGTAAATCAGAGCTAAAAAAGTGCAAAAACACAGACAAATTTGCCTGCGTTGGTCTACATATTAAGAGATACTAAATAAGATCACACTATAGTTTTAGAGATTTTAATTCATTGGATAGCTAATTCTAGCATCCTTAGTCCCACTGAGTCATATGCTTTTTTCATGTTTTAAAACATCATCCATATTTCTTTTTTCTTTTCTTTTGTTTCTTCTATTAGACAGCCCAGAAGATATATGAGTAATATAGTGCTTCTCCTTATAAGCTTGCAAAATTTCTTACTCTAAGTATCTTTTTCTTTTCTATAATTTTGGTCAGTTTGTTTATTATAATTTTCATGACTATTTTTCTAAAGAACTCTAAGAATAAGATCAGTTGCACATTGTTAAACTTATAACACCACTTTTTTGTTTTAGATATTGAATACAGAATGTCTAACTTCCACTTTTTTGATATTGTGCTAGACTTTATACAATTTGAGGTGAGATTTATGAAAATCTTTCTTGCAATTTTTCCTGCCCTTTTAATTAAAGAATAGATAATTCCAGATATTTTTGGGGCTGACTTGGCTTTGACTTGTACAAGAGCACAATCCCACTTTGCTATATTAATGTCATCTGATATCTCTGAATATCATGTCTTATCTATGTCTTCTCTTAGAGAATATTGTTTTGTCTATCTTTCTGGCAGTGTACTTGGGTCTGTTATATTTCTTTTATGGAATTGATTTTGAAAGTGTTCTTTGACCTCTTCAAGAACTTTCATTGTCTTATATAGAAGTTCAGTTTTTTCTTCTATTTTTTTAGCAACTCGATCTATTTTAATTTTTTTATATAGCCAATCTAACAGGCTGTTAAGTATTTTTCACTGATTTGTGACAATTATACTATGCCTTTCTTTTATACATTTCCTTATTTCAGCTTTTTCTAATTTCTTAATTTTTACTCACCATTCTTTGTGCATAATTTTAGATTAGATTTTGAGGTTTTCTATATTTAAGATATTCGCATCTCCTAACAGATTTCTGCTATTGTTTTGATTATTTTTTACTAAAACACAAAATTAGTTGTTTTATAATAAAATTTTCCAATATAGCTCTTTAAAGTTTATATTTTTTTATAATTTATTATAAGATCTGCAATACAAAATTTTATTTTTCAAAGATCTTTTGGTTTGTTAATTTGGGCTCTTTTTTCAATATATAGCCTATATGTATCTAGTATAAAACTCTAAATAAAATTAATTAAATGTAAACTACTTAAATTAAATACCAAATATATAAGAGAAATAGAGGTATTATGAATAGGAGGGGGTATTGTGGTCATATGAGAATATTTTATGTTCCAGTAATTAGAATTAAATAATTTTTGCACCATTCAATTTGTTTCTTTGAGATGAATTAAATGATACAAAAATTATTTAATTCTAATTACTAGATCATAAGATATTCTCATGTAACTACAATACCCTCTTCTGTTCACAATACACTCATTTTCTTTATATAACTAGTTGTATTTTTATAATATTAATTAATATAATATGTTATTATTTTTTTAAACAGTCATGTCTTTATTTATGTAAACCTCATATAACTATCATACATGAATACAGCAATTTTTTATGAATGTAGTTCTATTCATAAAAGCTATCCAAGCATATTGCCCAAGTTGATCTGTCATAACAACTGTTCACTTCTCTTAGAATCCAAACCTTTCTAAAGATTTAGTACTATAATGATACTCTCTTGATATTTCGCTAGCTATTATATAGCCTATTAATGACTGTTAAACTTTTTCTTCTAATTCTTCTTTCTTCTCAAGAGTATGAGACAAAAGGGTAAAATTTTCAAAAAGGTTGTACAAAAACGAAAGAAAAAAAAAACAAAAAAGAAAGAAAAAACAGATACAAATTGCAAAAAAGAAAAAATAGAAATGTAAACACTATTATAACCCATGCCAAGCAAGTATAAAAATTATATAACAAATACAATATTTGTATGTCTCTACTGTAAAGCTTTACTTTAATATTAAATTTACTTTCTGACCTTCCCACTAATTTTGGATAGCTTCGTTGTCTGTTCTAATTTGTATCTTGAGCCAGGTATTGTCGTCGTCCAAGAGCCTGTGTCTCAGGCCACCTGTTGTCATAATTAGAATTTCCAGGCCAAGTCTCTTGAAGTAGTGCTATATTTGTTATAAATAGTGATGCCACCGAAATTGATTTTCAAAAAAGGCCTATTTCGTCTCTATTAAAGCAAATTAAAATTTTTTATAAGAAAGAGCAAATAAAATTTATATATTTATACTCCTTATAATTTCGTCTATTCAAAAAAAGTATCAAAAAATTTCGTCTTTTAAGTAAAATAGGTCTAAAACAATTTTGTCTTCAAATTTTAATTTCAGGTTTTAGAATCTGAAATAATTTTGTTGGCATGTATAGTTATAAACAAACACATGGTTGTATTTTACTAATCTGTTTAGATTTGGGAAGTAAACAATGTCAATCTTTTGAAGAGGATAAGCCAAATCCTTATTTTTTGTCAAAATTTTTTGAAAGATTAACAAGAGGGTGTGTAGGAGTGAAAAAGAAACCACTTGGCCAAGTAAAAGAGTGTAGCTTGAGGAAAAGCAGAGTCTTGTTGTTTTTTCTATGTTTTTTTTCTAAAAGTAACAGCCTAAATAACTTTGTCAATAGATAAACTGTTGTCTTTCCACCAAAATTTTGTATTCAAGAGCATACACCTCTAGCTAGTTATCTTGTATACTAATGCTTTTGGCTTGTATGTTAAATGTACAACTTATAAAGAAGTCTCAGAAGAGTAGTACCATTAATCTCTAAGCAAACTACTATGTTAGGCTATAACTTTTCAACAAAAGTTCTGTTTTTCTTTGGTAAAAATTTTGGTTAAATAATCATTGAGAAGAGTTGAATCAATATAATATGTTATTAATTTATTTGATTAGGCTAAACTATTATATTAACTAGGAAAATATGTAGTATTGTGTGTCCGGAGTGTATCATATAATAATCATCTTATTATATAAATACATGTTTTGGTTACACTAAATTACAAATCTGAACACGTGTGCAGACAGACAGAAAATTTCCAAATTACATTTTTGATTTGATTTTCATAATGTTTATGCAGATGCATCAAAAAGGTAACTAATTTTGAATTAAAAATATAACTTTTGTATTACTTTATATGTATATTAAATGTCCTTTGCTACACTTTAGACAATAAAGTGCTAGAGGCCTAAGTAGTCATTATAATATTAAATAAAATAAAATAAAATATAATTTTTTAAAGAATATTACTAACTATAACTGGCGGTAATCATTACTAGAGTGCTTATATCTCAAAAATATACTAAGTAAACTGGATTAATTATCTTAAATAAAAATGTTCAGAATCTCTGAAAATCTTATAAAAACTAAATTTGAAATCCTATATTAGCTTTATATTATATTATATAAAAAAAAAAAAATTCTTAATAACCATATTCTAATCCTAAAAATATCTAGAGATGGTGATAATCACCACCAGTTATTTGTAGTAGATCTCTTTTTTTAAAATATAAATAATATAAATAATTTTATAACAAAAAATTTTTGTAATTGAAATTAGTCCATACAAATTTAATTACTTGGTTTTCATAACATGAAACTTTTAAATTGACCCGGCTGGCCAGCTTTTTTTAAAAAAATTTCATATATAAAATTTATAAAATTTATTTAAAAATTTTTTTTAAACTTCACCTGGTTATTAAAATATATAAAAAAATTTTTTTGAAGTTCTCAAATTTTGACTCGGCTGGGTTATGAAAACCAATTAATTAATTTTGCATGGCCTTAGATAAATTTTTATAACTATTAAAAAATTGAAAAAATTTAATAAAAAATTTTTTAAATTTTAACTAAACTTGTATAGCTTATTATAAATAGTAATGATTTGTAATAATTTTTAAAAAATATTTATAAATAATAATTATTGCAATATAATAAATAGTTTTATATAATTAATAAACTTTTAATTTACAAAATTTATTAATTATAATTAAATTTAAAATATACTAGTTTTAGTATATTAAAATTTTATAAAATTACCTAATATAAAAAAATTTATTTTTTAATGATTTTATTATTTTTTAATTTTTTAGATTTTTGAGTTTTTAAAAACGTATTAGAACTAGTACAAAAGTGCAAATCCAAACTATTAACAATAAAAAACCTCATAATAATAATAATAATACTATAATAATAATAATAATAGTTTTTGATTAATTTGCTTATAATTTATTGCTATACAATTCTGTTTTATATTATAAAAATGCTTCTATAATACAAACCTATTAATGGTTACCTTTGAAGCTTCATGATAATTTAAGTAATAGCACTTTTAACCATTTTACATTTACATTGGTGACTATTTATAAGTGATAACGACTATGTATATAATACTTTTCAGGCCTTATATGGAAAATTTAAATCACACTAAGTAATTTCAAGATCATTTTCTGATCTAAAAACCTCATATTTAAAAAAATTTTTCTTTTTTTACCTATATTAAATAAATTAAGTGTCACTGTCAAATTATAATTTGTTATAATTTATTTATTAATCATTAATCGAGTTAATTCTAAATCTATATATTATGTAGAAATTGAATTTCGTTGCAATTTATGTCGATTTAGAATCGATAAAATCTGAACGTACTATTACAAAAAAAACAATTTTTTTTGTAATATCAAAGTTTACGCGCGAATTATTATCATTATAAGAATTCAATCAGCCGATTTTAAAAAATAGACGGCTAAGCCGAAAATAGGCTTTAGCCGATTTTTCATTGTTGACCAGAATAACTACTGTTGAGCACATTGAACGTTTGGTCCATGACCTTCTTCGTCCTCATCTTGCTGATTACTCATAAGATTCTCTGCGGTTTGTTGTTGCATACTATCAAGGTATGCCAATTCAACTGGTTCGATAAGATCATGTTTTGGAGTAGGGAGTTTGGCTGGTGGTGGGAGAATATTTGAGAGGGCCTCTAATTTTGAGGTATCATTTGTCCAAAAGCGAGCTGGAAATTCAATGTCAAATTTGACATACAAAGTACCCTTATTATGATGACGATGCGATGGCATGCCCTGTCCAGGAATTGCTTTAATTTCGTCTAATAACAAAATTGGATTAGTAATCTTTTATACATTAATAAAATGGATAATATGAATTATTATGTACATACTTGGTCTGATAGATTCAAATGGTGCCACTCTAACATCGAGAACTCGATTATCAAGATGTTCGAGATAGAAATTTCCGCCCGCTAACGCTGTTATTAGTTCAATCTTGGCCGTATAAATTAGATCATCACCCCTTCTTACAAAACGATCATGCTTCTTTTCCTCCAAATAAATAATAACATCACCAGGCTCGATTCCAGGGGCTTGATCGGCTTCACCATAAAAGGGTATTTCTTGTCCATTTCTCATACCTTTCTCAATATAAACCTCTAGTACCTTACGCTCATTGATAACTTTTTTACCATAACACGCCTTACATCGATCCTTTTCCTTGATGATCTCACCCTGACCTCCGCAGTCATTGCAAGGCTGTTGAATTTGCTGTACCATAGGACCTAAAGCTCTTAGGTGGACTTTGTAGCCACTACCATCACACCCTGAACACTTCTTAACCGAACCCTCCTTACCACCTCTACCATCACAGGATTTACAAATGACATTCTTGTTTAGAGATAATTTAGTTGATTTTCCATTATATAAGTCCTCTAGAGAAACTTTGAGCACATGCTTCAAATTTTTTCCTTTACGTGGACCCTGTTGTCGTCGACCAAATCCACCGAAGAAGCTTGCGAATAGGTCTTCAGGCGACATACCCATTCCTCCATCTCCTGATAGTCCTTCTTCTCCATATTTGTCGTATAAATCACGTTTATGAGGATCAGAAAGAATTTCAAAAGCATGAGCAATTTCTTTAAATTTTGCATCACCGTCTGGATTCTAAAGAAATTGTGCGATAAACTTATTAGTACATTGATTTGATTAATATCTTTAAATTAAAGTTGCCTTCTTTCGTTAACATCCTAGGTTCACTCGAGTTTAGATCTATATACCACTACAATTTTGAAACGAATCACGACTTTTCCCGGAAATTTTACTTAACATACTAATAGCATCTGTGAATTTGATCTGTAAAAGTTCTCCGCGAATCTTATACTTTACATCTTGACAAAGTTTCGTAATGCTAAAGCCGCGTGTTTAGCAATCAAGCAAAAAAAAATAATTACGCATACCTTATCTGGATGATACTTAAGAGCTAGCTTCCTATAAGCTTTTTTTATTTCACTGTCTTCAGCACTTGGAGAAACTTCCAGAACGTCATAAAGTTTTGTGTCTTTGACCATATTCTTTTTTATATGATAAAATGCTCGATATTGATTTGTGATTAGTTTAAAAGCGAAAAGTTTTTTTCTTCCTAACAAACTACTTTATAAATTTCTGATTGTACCTATCTCTTATATCTATTTCCTGTTTATTGTTATTAGTGACGATTATGGAACTCTGTATATCATTACGTATTGCTGGAAACTTCTGGACAAAACTAAATAATTCCATCAATTTCTATCAGTTTATCCGTTATCTGATATTTCTACTAATTTAGTAAATTTTTGTGTAATAGCCATATTGTTTTTTTTATTTAAGAGAAAATCTGTAAGTGTGGGCGCCTTATTTTTACAAAGAAATTTTAACATATTACCAATAAGCATATAAAAGTGTTTTTAAATTTTATTGTTAGTTATTATAGGCTTTGTGCTATAAAAAAGAAATTTTGATAATTTTTTTTAAAGATAGATTATTTTTTTAAAATATAACGATAAGTAGTTTGCATTAATAAAATCTTGTATATAGTAAATTTTTAAAGTTTGTACGTACGTACGTACTTTTTTTCATAAAAATTTTAAAAAGAAATAATTTAGATTTAACCAGAGGTGAAATTTACCGGCCTAAGAATTTTTAGAGGGTGCAGTTTTAAGATAAAAGAAGAGTTTTATATAACATAATGTAGATTTGATATGGTCCCGATTTCAGTTCTCGTGAGGTTTTCGAGGGTCCTGGACATTTTTACATAGAATACCCGATCCCATATATAGCACCCCGGTGAGAGTTAAAATACTCCTTTTCTAATGTTTTTATTTTTATTTTTTTTAATATATATATATAATTATAATAAGATTGATTTTTTAAAAAATTGTTAACAAGATTTTATATTTATTTTTAATACATTCGTCCTCCTCTACAGTCATCTCCTATATAATCGCACACTCTTTGTAAGCACCATTTTTTGAAAAACTATTGGCAATATATTAAAAAAACTCTATATGGGGTTGAGTCAATAGAAACCAAGCAAATTTTTTTTAATAAGTTTTTTAAAAATTTTAAACAAGGATAACTAAATAAAAACAATCAAATTTAATAAATTTTTTTTTAAATTAATTCTACAAGTTTGTAAAAATTATTAAAAAAATTTGCTTGATTTCTATTGACTCACCCCCATATAATCACATTACTATTAAAATTTTATAGATTTTGTTAAATTTAGCAGGTTGCGATATCACAGGTTAATATTTAAAAAAAATTTAATATTATTATTAGTTAAGGTTAGGGTTCGAACTAGTATTAAGATTATGGTTAGAAAACATATATATATGCGAAATTAAGTGTTAAGACTAGTTTATGTAATGAAATTTCAAGAAATTTCGTTTTTGTTACACAAGATCCTGTGATCTAATTGGTCAATCATATTTATTTTCGATATTTTCTACAGGGGGATCCCCAAAATTCCGGGTCGTAATGGCCGGAATGCGTCGTGGTTAGGGTCGAGGTTAGGGTTAGTGGGAGCTATAGGCTATAGTAAAATTATCAGCTGGGCACTTTTCACTTAATGAACGACTATTGTTTCATTAGTAAAATTCTTAGTGATCTTGGGGCAAAATTGATCGACTCCGGCCCTTCCGACCAGAGTTCCGAAGTTTCCGACCCGGAATTTTGGGGATCTCCCTGTAGGAGTTCAAAAGAGAAGTTTTATATTACATAATGTAGATTAGAAATAAATAAGGTCCCAATTTTAGTTCTTGCAAGGTTTTCAAGTGTCTTGAACATTTTTACTTAGATTCCCTGACTTTAATTGTACGCTTTTGGGATATAGCACCCCCAGTGAGCGTTAAAATCGTCCTTTTAATTTTATTTTGTTTAAATAATATAAAGTTCGTTATTTATTTTTAATTGTTAAAATTGGTTTTAAACAATTTTAATTTTTTTTAATAAAATAAAGTTATATATATATAATAATTTGCATTTATCTAATAAACCAATCAGATTGTAAAATTAGATAACAGATATATAAAATTAAAAAAAAATTATTTGCACAAAAAAAAACTTTTGATAATTTTAGATTGAATTTATTATTAAAGCTTTATTCAAACTCTAATTTAACTTTAAACTAACAATCTTAATTTATTATTTTAATTTTATTATACAGTACTATATTTAGTTTTACTGTATAAGATATATTACAACATATTTGCTTAAAAATCAAAATTTTTTTAGATAATAATTCTATGCAGTAATATATATATATAACAATGATATTATAATATGTTTAGTAAAATATGATTCAAGATAGTTAATTGGAATTAAAATAAAGTGAATTAAATAAATAAATAAAAGTTAACATTTACTGAGATAAAGATCGAAATAATAAAATTAAACGCATAAACCTAAAATGTGTAGAGATTATTTGAATGTTTCCGAGAAAAATGAGACTTCGGATTTTCAAGTTAAACATTTACAAAAATCTGATCAATGATATGCTGGGTGTTTCAAAAGTCACTATAGACGTCTCTTCTTTAAGTGACCTTGTATTTCAATGTATACGTATACATTGCATGTTGACAAGAGTCAACAGATCGAAAAGACAGGGGAGAATGGTCAGGGCTACGCGCCATGTAAGCCCTGCCCTGATACCATGGGTCGGGATCGAAAAAGACACCAGACCGCAGGAAATGAAGCAACGCAACTGAAGGTCACCACCACAATCAGTATTTAAAGAAGCGACAAATAGCTTACTTGCGATACCATTTCCTCTTACAACAAAACATTACAACTGTTTCTTTTTTCTCGACCCAACCCTTCACTCCACACACGGTAGTTTCCTTATTCTGCCATTTTCACCCTATAAAAAAGGGTTGTCTGCTTTTGTTCAGCTTTTGTCGATATTGTTCAAAAAAAGTTCAGAATGGAGTCATTATAGTATAAAACCAGAACAAAAGTTGTACATTTTTAAATTTTTCAATTATAAAAATATGTACGATTTTTGTCCTGCCTTTACTACGATAATGACTCCGTTCTGAACATTTTTTGAACAATACCGACAAAAGCTAAACAAAAACGGAACAAAAACAGAACAAACTTTTTTTATAGGGTCATATTTAACAGCCGGCCTGCTTGCTAGTGATTGGACCCAACCGGGTCACCCGCGGGTGACCTGTGGAGTTTTGGCCACCCGGGTGGAAACGGGTGATCTGTAGTTGTAAGACTTTATGCACTTGTATGTTCTCAAGCACACACTCAATGGATCGGAGATAAATTTTAAACGTTACCATTTCGATGAGATACAATCCATCTTTTTTCTTCAAAAACTTACCATTGATAAAGGTCGCTCAAGAATTACTTTTACATTTTTACATATCAAGCATAATAAACAATGAATTCTCAGTAAATTTCTACCCGATCCAAAAAATATTATTAATGCTAGAGACTTTTAAAACAAACTACCAAGGATATAACTATTACTTAGAAATATATAAGTATGTGTAATAACAGGTGACATCTATTTTCACCCGGGTGGCTCATGAGCCCACCCGACGGGTTATTTTTTTTAACCCACCCGGGTTCTACCCGGTGATCCGGTGGCGTTTTTTTTTGACGGGTCCAATCACTACCACTGGCTGATGCTGTTTCTCACTCGTTCTAATGTTATGATGATACCTGGCGCAATCTCACTTGCTAATTTTCCCGGGAGCATATCATCATTTCAGTTCAAATTACTCACAATGTATTCTGCGGACTTAAAGTCCTTTAATTAAATTTATTTCCGACACCTTTGATAGCCGGCATTCTTCCAATCACATGACCAATCGTACCTCGGGTCACTTAAAAAAAGGGATGTGTATAGTAACCTTTGAGATATCCGTAGTTAGAGCTAATTTTGAATGCATTCCAAAATTTAAAAGGGTGTTAATGGTAGATTGTTATTTACAGATATCACACTGATAATAAGGAAACAGTGGTTGATTGATTGTTGATTGATTGATGAAAAAAGAAATTCACTAAAATAGTAATTTTTTTATTTTGACGGTTTGCAAAAAGGCGTGACCCTGTGATTTCGTGATGATGATCATAATTTTCGATCAATAACGTCTATATTTTATTCGGAATCTTTAAAATTCTAAGAATCGAAAGTCTATAGCATTATAATCTGCAGAGGTCACACCTTTTTGCAAACCGCTATAATTTTAATCACATCCCAGTGTTAGGTCACTATAACAGACAATCCAACTTAAAATCTATCGGAACCTTGTTTGAAAACAAAACATGTCATCTATTTCAATCAGAATTAGTTACAACTTTTGATCAGAATCAGTTACAATTTTAGTACCGGTAAAGAATCGGTTGCAATTATTTCAGATTCAGTTACAAAATCAGTTATAATTCTTTAATTTCTCCAGTTCTGATTGAACAGAACAGGCTACGCAAAAAAAGAATGAAGTTTTTCATAAATCGCAGTATCCTAAAATTTTGTTTACAAACGACCTTTCGTTTCCTATAAAAAATTATTTAAAAAATTTTAGTAAATGTGCTCTAACTTTACGTGCTGCTAATCGTTTCAAAAGTTTGATGAAATATATTTCGTCCATTCTTGATTAGGCCATACAAATTTAATTACTTGGTCTTCATAACATGAAACTTTTAAATTGACCCGGCCGGCCGGCTTTTTTTAAAAAAATTTCATATATAAAATTTATAAAATTTATATAAAATTTTTTTTTAAACTCCACCCGGTTATTACAGCTGTTCTCATAAATTTTGGGACATCTGGTAAAAAATTGACCGAATGATTTTAGGCCGATTCGATAAGTT